CACCTCTCGATCCCTAATTATCGTCGTGTTTAGTTAGTATTTTAGTAAAGATGTATCTAAAATAGTAAGAAAGCCTGACGCCATGGTAATTAATTATTACATTTGTTCGACATTTTGACATTTATAGGAGAGGATGGACTTCTCTTGGGGTTAAGTATGTCAGGTAAACAATCACTTAATGTGATATCACTTTGACCAAAAATAGTAGAACATTCGAAGAAATAAATCTATGGGTAATATTAATACATTTATCTATAGCGAAACAAAAAAACCAGTGGCAAACCACGCAAACAGCTCATATTAATAAAAGCATGTAAATTTTTCAAAACGCCAAAATTGTTTGGAGTTCTACATTTGTTTCAAGGTTTAACATCACAGTTTCAACCATAAACTACAACTCTCGAACTCGTAACAAAGTCAAGACAGGTAATTTAGTTAAATGCACAACAAACGATTGAAAAAATCCAATTTAACCATACAAATGCTTTTATCTACTCTAACTAAAGCCCGAAGTGTTCTAAACACCTTAGTAAATATACACGTAATTTTCTGTCGATCAGAAACATGAAAACTCTATGCTTTTAAGTAAGAACTATAACATGCTTACTTTTGCTTCGTATGCAGTTTTCTTAAAATTCCTTCGTTAAAGTAGTAAATTGTTCGAGACTAAGACACACGACAAAGCAAATTTTTAAACACCATCGTCAATAATTAAGAGCTATCGACCCAATTAAGGATACACTTTTTAAGACGTTGTTTCAAAAAAGATAATTTTCACAAGCAAAAAAACTTACTATTCGACACTCGTCCTCAAATTTAATGTACAAGTGACCCATAGCTCGTATAATTGCTATCATACTCTGAACGGTGTTGCTATAAACAACAGGTTTATAAAGTAAGCATTCCTCTCTTGTATAGCTAGACTGGTGAATAATCCTATACATAGCCATCTAAAAATTGACTGACCCTACTTTAGCTGCTTAAGTATTGTACTTTTCCCAGACTCACCAGCACCTTGAATTATTAAATGTATATGAAACTTTGAAAATTACCTAGCAACAACAGCTTGGCTATTCTTGCCATTTTTTCGCCATCGCTTTTGAGTGAGGCGTCTATCTGTTTGGATCTTTGAACAGCTTCCTTCTCGTCAATACTTAGTAAACATCCCATAACGGAATATAGTTACAACGTTTACACCGTGCGCTATTTTTATTCAGGAAACAATAAAATTGAGATAGCGTCAAAACTAAAATATTATCTTGTTCTGAGATACGTAATCACTAATTGTTTTATTTTCGATGAATTTATGTTATACACTAGAGAAAGACTGCATTGGTCGGGGTTTGAAAGGTACCAAAGTATTTGTACTGAACAGTGATAAAAGATTGTGAATTAACACTTAAATTACTGCTGAAATTCGGAGTTACCAATTCTTTTATTTTTACAGCCCTTACATTTATTATCTTCCTCTAATAAATGGTGCACCGTTAGTATGGTCCACCACAAGGTAAACGCAATCGCTATTTGCTTAATGTTGTTAGTAATATATGTTATGATAATACTGATCAAACCCTACTTATTTTATCACCTAATGGACTTATAACTTATAATCACAATATGGGTTTTAAAAGCATTCATTTCCATCAGAATGAAGTTCATAATTTCCTAATATTTTGTCAATGAACCGCATTTTATGCTATACTTATTGTCACTTGCTAAAGAGTATGTCCCTTTTAAGTAAAGCATGTGATTTCATCAGCACGAATATTTAAATGAACTCGATGAATGGTTGATAATGCTGAAAATTTGCTGAATCCGTGGAACTATGGCTTTGAGTAGCTAAGTTCGCCTCTTGTCTCTTCACTTCAGGGAGGCTTTAATTCATGAAAGACTGTACCGGAGTGCCTTGAAGCAACATCGCCACAACAGAGTTCTATATAAAGATAAGGTGGCGCTGAAGCTAAATCTAAATCAAAAGGGAAGAAATTATCCTGAAAAAATATTTTACGTTCGACATGAGAAATCAATTGTGCACTTTTGAAGTATGAGAGCTACGCTTATCTCATTTGTTTAAGTGAGACAAAATCTACTGCATCGTAACTCTTTAAATGAGAGAATAACTATGGTGCTGTGGAAGGGGACTGCTGTATAAAGATATGAGGTTTAGGGAGATTTCGTTCTGACGAGAGAATGAGACATTTCGTGGAAGTCCATGGAGTTCAATCATTTCAATAATCTTGCAGTGGCAAATAAATCCACGTAACAAATATTTTCATAAGTAATCAAGATTAATGATGACCTGTCATATCCCATGACGTCTTTAGTGGTGGTTTCCATGTAATGTTCTATATCAAACGAGACGCTTTGATAAGGACCATCCACAAATGTGGGATCTGACTGACTGAAAAAGGCTAGACCAACCGTTACACGATAACGAATCATGAGACAGAAAGGTGATGAAAATGTTCCGACTAATGAGTGACATCCTTGGTAAACAAACTTTCAGCAAATTGGATTTCAGAAAACTCGTTTATCTAGGCTCCTTCAGCATATGCAAGCGGTTTTTATTTCGTTCTTAAATAACACTATAGATCAGCATGTTGTGTTCGCTGATAAATGGGCTTCATTTGATCTTCACGTTCTAGATATCACCAGAAAAACTTGCATTGAGGTTTATTATCTTAAAGTCTTGTTTCTCGTTCGCAGATTAAGTGTACTCGTGATAGCTTCAAACCTAGCACTGTGGGAGAGAATAAACGAGATCCCAGATGAGTCGAAGATTAGGAAAAGACAATGTAAGTGGATAAGACATACATTACGGAAATCGCCAAACTGCATCACAAGTCAGGCGCTTAGTTGACAACTTGAAGGGAATAGGGAAAGAGGAAAACCAAATAACACACTGCATCAGGAATTCAAAGTAGACATGAAAGGATTTATGGCAACTGGAAAGTACTGGAAAAGATTTCTCAGGACCGAGTTGGAAGGGGAATGCTGATTGATACCGTTCGCTCTTCCACGAGGGGTGATAGGCGTAAGTTGGAATATTGGTATGCCGTTCACTTTGACAAATACTCCACAAGCTTTCAAGCGATTTATCAACATAGTTTATGGGCGCATTTGTCGATGACTCTCTTGTCGCAATTTAGGTAACGGAATACCGTCTACAGCATTTGAACCTTGTTTTTCACTGACTCTAAAAGCTACCGTTGACACAGAAATTTCAAACTGTTATCGACTAACATGACTTATTCGCCTGATGTATTTAATTCCCAGAAAACAAAATGGTAGCTGTTCTAGATCAGCCAGGACCGACCACAGTCAAGTGACTGCACACATTCAACGTTCTGGTAGGTCTCCACTGACGGTTCACACGAAATCGTATTTGGCCATGCAAAAGTCATCGACTTAAATGACAGTGATGAAAGCCGAGAATTCACTCCATAAATAAACGTCTAAACGTTTCTCCCTAGCCGTCTTCAGACAAGTACCTTCCTTGAGAATCTAGATAACTAAACTTCATTTCAAAGATCACCTCAGACATCCATGTGTCAAGGACAGGCAATGAAGTCCCCCATAAATTCTTTTCACGGTCCTCTGAAATTTTTCCAGCTTCGAAAAATGGACACCGGTCTTCAGTATGTATTATCCTCAACAACCCTCAGACAGATGTGATCGGGTAAGGAAACTTTAATTTGTGCCAAAGTCGCAGTTAACGATAGTGGATTCATAGGGAAAAACCATTGTCTCAATATCTTCAATACGTCGCACAGGCTTACGTATCCAAAAGTTCAACTAACCAACCTAGTATGAATCAAGATTTAAAGAAGCGAACATGTTCTTGCATGAGCTACCGGACATTAAAGGCGAGTATACTTGCTAGGTGTCCCCCAGGCTATTTCGCAAATGCTGGAGCCCGTTTCAACCTTATTCATCATTATTTGGCAGGTCTTACAAAAATCAAACGAATACCCTTATGTCTTAGCGTGGATAAACGATTTAACACGATGGTTAGAAGCAGTACCTGTCAGAGACCTTACAACTGATATGTTGGCCTGCTCCTTCATCAAACGGCTGGTAGCAAACTTCGGTCGCCCTTCGAATGTTAAAGCAAACCACGGATCCCAGACCAAATCTGGGTTTCTGTGTATAACAACACTGACAGAAATCATGTTATCCTAACAATCGTCTTCCTTCTGTATGTCAGTGGGTTGGTAGAGCGATTTTAATAACAGTTGTAGGTTTTGCTCTCAGCAACAAACATTTTTGAATGGACTGATGTAGTTAGATTTTTTTCACTCAGAAATCGTATTTCAGTGAAGATTATACTGGATACACTGCAGCCAAACGAATTCGAGGCACGACACTTTGAACCCTGAGAAAATTCGTAGATTATTAAACCTTAATGCATGTGGATCAAAACACCAACGTGAACAGGCTTACAAATGTCATGGGTCCAGTTAAACCTGGATCGATTCGGTCGTCGAAGTCACACCTCACTGTTAGAACCTAACGTAGACTATCATTTTGTCGTATCCAGACTCCATGGCTACTTCGAAGATCGTATAACACAAAGGACGTTATTACAGAAATATATAAGTGAGATTAGGTGCAAGGAAGAGAGTGCGATCACCATGGCATAAGCTAGTCAATGGTGTGAGATTATTTGATATACGCGATGGTTGTCTTTGCACCTGATGAGGATCGGTGAACTGTTTGACATTCACTGACCCCACTGCTGGATGGTTTGGCTGGGCCCTAGTGACCCTACACTATTATTTGCAACTTTCGTGAGAAAATTACCAATGTCCTGGAACCAGACATCTCAATTCTTAAGAGATTTCTGACATAAAATCTTGATAAAACATACAAGATAAAAGAAAATTAGTCAAGTACATTTATGCCACTTTGTCTTTGTCCTTGTGGCCGAAGAGATGACCTTAAATGTCCGAAAGCGCTCTATATAAGCTAGTTGATGTACTCTATTTTTCAAAGTTAGAATGTCGAGTAGACGGTCTCACAATCTGCGCACTTATTTGGATAAAGTATGTTTATTTTTTTCATGCATATTGGCTATTCTGTAGAAATTCAAACCCACCTTTGATCAGGTAAGTTAAGTTCATGTCTCAATGGATCCCTAGTACGGTACAAAAGATGGTATTCCATTGTCTGATTTGAAGAGACTTCTTGGGAAGTCTGACCTACCAGAATCAAAAGTTCACAATATTGTGGACTCAGCAGATAAAGATGGAAACCAGTTCATTACGTACGATGAGTTTCTAAAACAAGTAAGTATTTTCAATACACAGTTAATAGATTTGTATGTTAGTGATCTAATGTAATCCACAGTAATAGAAAAAAATGTATATGACATACTACAAGCTTAAAACAATAAGTCTGGTTGACACGGTCGACATTTTGTTAGTGACACTTGTATTTATCAGTTTAACTGAGTGTGATTGTGAAGTGGTATGATTTTTACTGATCCTCTACAGCGTATGAGTAGTGTTCATTTAAATCCCAGTTTTTGTTGTGTATGAATGCAGTTGGACTTGAGACCATGTTCTTTCGTGGTGAAATCACTCGGTTATCCTTGTCTACATCATGGTTGTTTCCAATTAAGCTATGAATTTATTACGAGGCAGGTTGATGCATCGATTCCAATCGGTTATTCCGACACATTCAAGTCCAAGTGTTCTCCATCTTTAAACTTTGGTATTTATCGTGGAAAGGTGGTAAAATCGTGGTTTACTTTTGATGGATGAAACTGTGACATGTTCCTGGTGGGTGGAATTTGTGGAATTTCATACTTGAAATATTCGGAGTACTTATATGGAATGCAATCATATAATACTTTATTATGCTCCCTAGATTGCGCTTGTACTGAGAATGAAGTTTTCACTGAAAGAGTATGAATTTTCTAAACACGTGGAATGTCCCACTAGGTCTGTTTCGAAGTCTCGAAATGTTTACTTGTAATTCCGTCAATGCCAAGAGCTGCCGACGAAAGAGAACTGTGTCTAGTCTCCTCCTAGTTATTTAAATAACCTAACACTTGGGATTGTGTTGATGTTCAACTGTTAAGTAACTAATGGTTTGTTGGTTCGACTTTCTGGACTGTATAATTAAGATCTTATTTCATAACATTTGTGTATTATGTAAACTACAATAATTGTGGTTCGAAATCTTAGTTTCCTTGTATAGCGTATTACTTCGGTTGCGACTATATTACAATTGATCGAATGATTTCCACCTTTATATCTTCGCTATATATGTCCATATTTTACTGTATACTTTTACGAATCATATGTTGCCACAGTTTATGACGGACAGTATGCATTTAATTTCGTCTGAAGGTATTTCCACTCATAGCTGTTTTTGAATTCTAGTGACGTTTTTGAAGGCAGCTGGCCGTACTTGGCAACAATGTTTTGGCTTTTAGTATCCCACTTTTCCGTTTTCTATGTTTCCCCAAATTTCTAATAGGTTCTATCTGAGGATGAAGGAACCCTCCGGAGACTGCGTATCCACAAACGGGTCCTCAATCGTGCAGTTCTGGCTATAGCACCGGATTGTGGACGCGAACATCAACGGGCTGTTGCTGTAAACTCTGGTTACGATGCTATCGATGGCTACAATTGGGGTGAAGCAGATGTTGATAATTATGTGCAGGCGTATGACTGTCGACCTCCTCCTATATTTATCCCTTTGATAACTATTGCTGAGGTAATTCATTTCCTGATTGACTAACAACATTTTGTTTTACATGATTTAGTTTTTGTGTCTGGATCTGTTAATTATTTTGTTGTTCACTAAGAAATGTCTATCAGCACTATTCTGGTCTAATATACTAATTCTGATGAGAACGAATTAGTTTTTGAAGATAGTCACATGAAAGCAACATTAAACAGTGAAGTGGATCTCTATAATTTGAATCAGATCTGAACACGAGGGTGTAATTTTGAAAGCCAAATGAGAAGTGGTATATTTTTATTTACTGTATATGGTCTTTCTCACTATGTATGATGGGTCAACAGATGTCCGTAATTTTATACTTCTGTACTGGGTACTTCGTTTGAGCCGCATTTAGACATACTTTCCAAATTTCTAAGCGCATATTGTTTCGTCCATCCCATTGTCATATCTTGTTTTTGAAAAATCATTTGGTTATTTTTTAGTGATCCATAAGCATTTAAATATTGTAACCATAAGCTACTGCGACCGAAGTTTTTGAATGCACTGAAATAAAGACATTACTGAAGCGAAACCTCGTACTATAGTTTTGTGTGAAAGGTTTTTTGTACACAAATGTTTTCATACATGTACTGCGTACCAGAAACCCATTTTCGGTTGACTTTTATCATATATTTCCTTTCGAATATACAATTGTGATCTCTTGTCGTTGAACTTTCGTTCCTCAGTTTTCTAAAAAACGCCTATTTTTCTCAAAATCATTTGTTGTGGTGCTCATGGTTAGTATATTCAATCTCAATTTCAAATATTGAACTGTACAGTAGTACTAACATTACACTTTTACATTTCAAAAGTCATACATTAGTGACTGTCAATACTTTTGATGTTTTTTTTTGTTTTAGATTGCAGTTTTTATTTACTACGTTGTTACTTATAGCAACAAACCTAGCTCTTCCAATATCGTCACAGCGTCATCTGGTGTTCCAGTTGATAGTATACTTATTTATAACCCAACTAAACGTCATGAAGTGTGGAGATTTTTAACCTATATGTTTATTCATAATGGTTATGTACATCTAGCTTTCAATTGCTTACTTCAAGTTGTACTCGGTCTTCTTCTTGAAATTGTTCATAAATTTTGGCGAGTTGGATTAGTTTATTTGTTGGGCGTTATTGCAGGTAGCTTTCGCATTATTGTTATTCGTAAAAATACGTATTTCTAAAAGATTTTCAAACACTTATGCGTTCGTTTTCAAAATTTAAAATGTAAAGTAGTCAACTGGGAACTTAGGCTTATTCAATAATTATTGTACAGTACATGACAACACTATAATGGCAAGTATATTGTCTGATTTTACTTTCTGTGCTTTATTTTTCCTTTGATTTTACTCTATTTAACTCCGAGATACCTATCTATATCTGGCCAGTCTTATGCAAATATTTAGTCCTTTTGTCTTGTATACTTATGTTATATGCGTTTGACAAGAAATTTTTAATTTTTCCCTTGATGTTTTATCGAAAATTCAAGTTATTTAATCCTGTTTTTGTATATTAATGTTTTCACTATAGGTTCTTTAGCTCATTCTGTGAGTGACCCATTTGTTTTGTTGGCAGGAGCTAGTGGAGGCTGTTATGCACTTATTGGCGCTCATTTAGCTACTGTAATAATGGTATGTTGGATCTTCTCTCTTGTTACTGCATATTTTTAAGAAATCTCAACAAAAATAGAAATCATTGCTTTATCATCCACCTATGGCAAGTGTAGCCAATATGTTGTTGTGTTAATCGCGTAGTAACAGTCTCAAAACTTTTGAAGTAATTTACTTACTTACTCCTGTTACTCCTCGTGAAGGATCATAGGCCGCTCACCAGCATTCTCCATCCAACCCTGCCTGGGCAATCCTTTCTAGCTCTTTCCAGTTGTTATTCATCCTTTTTCGTATCTGCTTCTATTTCCCGACGTAATGTGTTCTTCGGCCTTCCTCTTTTCCGCTTCCCTTCAGGATTCCATGTTAGTGTTTGCCTCGTGATGCAGTTTGACGATTTGCATAATGTATGTCCTATCCATTTCCATCGTCTTTTCCTAATTTCCTCTTCAGATGGATGCTGGTTAGTTTTGAAGTAATTTGGTTGTATATTATTTGATAATTATTACCCAGGAGTTGATTATCATTTGAACCAATAACATGAAACTTTTTTAATAAGAAATTCGAGACGTATAATCAACTGTTAGAAATATACCATGTCTAATCAATCTGATTCAGAGCAAGTCAGTTAAGAATAAATATTTTCGAATTGAAATGGTAAAAATTTATGGGAAGGGATATTTCGTTCATATGGGATGTTGTTTGTGGACAGTTCATTTCCGACATGTTTAGGTAAATTTTCTCTTTATTGATAATAACTGTCGGTGTTATTGTGTTAAAATTAGTCTTATAATAAATTTATCGTTTGAATACAATGACAGCAATGACTAAAATGATTGAACTGGCAATTCACTCATTAAACCTGTGCTTAAATTAAAACTGCATAGCATTCTCAGATTCGCTAAATTGTTCTTACATAAATAAGGTGATGAGATATTAGTTTGAATGACAATGCTGTCAACAAACTACCCGGTGGTTAAATATCAATAATTAATTAGGAAGTCGTTTCGTCTGATATCTATCAGATTACAATAGAAAATTTACATTCACAAATGAATTTCGGTTGTTAGTGCCTACTTATCTTTGTTAAATTTCATGCCGTTTTCTTTAAAGTATTGTTTTTATTTTCCAAATACTTCAGAATTGGGACATAATGCAAGAGGGATGGCTAAAAGATCCTTTGAACTTTATATCAAGTGGTGTTGTCAGATTAATTCTAATTATTCTACTTGGTGAGTTATAACCATCACATACTTATTTGTATCGTAAATTACTGCATATCACACGAGTGTTTATATATTTCTTCCACTTGTACTAATTTTATTTTAGTTATGCCTATTTCTTCTATTATATATATATATATATATATATATATATATATATATATATATATCATAAGTTTTGGTTTTCAGTTGGTTAGAAAGTCGAAGCTATTTCATCAGATACCCTGTAAGTAACTGTATGATATCTCCAGCTGGTACACACAATGTGTTGCCAAAAACAGGACATCTGAATCTGTACTTAATAAATGAGTTAAGGCACTCATCACATTATCTACTTTAAATACTGGCTTAAAAGGTCTATTACTTTAGAAATTCTCTTTTTTGAATTATATTACGGTTGATACAGTTATTTTCGAGTCTAATGTTCGTCTGTAAACATTTTATTAATTGTCAATGGACTATTTGTTATCTGATCCATTTTCCTAGTAATTTTATATCGTATGGTTTCATGTTTCACTAGAATAAAAGATCCTTGTTCTGTTTTCGAGAATACATTAGTAATGTGAAATTATTTCAGGCAAAAAATCCAAAAATATATTTTTCGTAATAGTACAAAACATAGATAACCTTGATATTTATGATAAACTGTTTCAATGTACCAGAGTAGCTTAGCGGTTTTATTGCTGCTTTATATACGTTTATTTCAATTTGTTCAGGCAAAATTCGTTCACCTGAAACTATAGTTTGAACTTTTATAAAATAATTGTTCATATAATTAGTGAAAGAGTGCCGTCGAAATCATTTAAATTGTCATGATTAAACTAGATGTTCAGTATCAGTACACTGCATGCCAATTTACTTGTATAATGGTTTGCTATCTTGTCTGCACATTATTGTTATTTGATTATTAAACTGGGTTTGATATTGCTGACTGCATCTCGATTAGTTTTGGTCGGCATATGTTGTTGCTACCTTGACGTGGTGGTCGGGCTTGTCTATCGTGATGAAGCAACTGAGCTATACTGGCTGGAACAACCGTTCCTCAAGGTCCTACCATGCCAGACAGGTCGGTTGAAGAGCGGTAAGACTAAAAGCAACAAAACCAAGGTCCGAACGCAAAGTCGTACTGCTGACTGTACAGAGGTGTGACAGCAGTAAGGTGTTTCCTTCAGACAACTAGCATAACAGCGATGCTGCCTTCCCACAAGGAGGGGAGGGGTTAGAAAAGGTCGACCCTAAAAATACACACCTTACCTTATTCCACGGATATCCGTCTCCGGTGGTAAGGTCTCAACAAGTACGGAGCTAACACAAAAGTTGCTCATAAAAAGGTCGTGTGTGACCGACTACAAGCAGCTGTCCCTTGGGCACTGCGGTCACGCTCTCAGGTCACTATGACCACCTCTAATCCAATTTCCTTTTCAGGTACCTCCAGAAGAACCCTTTCACGGTGTGGACAACCGGGATGTGATAACCGCCCTCATGCCTCTAACAGCACTCAAGGCCACTGTATTCATAATCAACCTACCTCTTCAATTCCTATTATTCCTCCTACATCGACCTTCAACGCCAAACTTCCTCTTTCGGCTTCCCCCTCAAGTGTCACCAAAGCCAACGATTCTAGTGCGCAAAACACTGTCCCAGGTCTACTGAAACCCCGCTCCAAACTACACATTGGAGCCTTCAACGTACGCACCCTATGTCAGATCGGTCAGCAGTCTTCGTTGGCTAAAGCCCTAGAATCTCGTATCATTGATGTATGCTGTGTCTCCGAAACACACATACAGGATCCTAGTGTGGTCATTTACTTGACCTCACTTCGACAAAACGGAGAGCCGACGAGATACACCCTCCGTGTATCTGGCGACCCGATGGCTAGTTCTCGTGGACTGGCAGGTGTAGGCATAGCACTAAGCATGAGGGCGGAACAAGCGCCATTAGAGTGGATCCCCGTAAACAGTCGTCTATGCGCTGTTCGGCTAAACGGCTCCGTAAGAACTCGAAAGGATAGGGTCACACGTCGTTGCCTTTTCGTCGTTTCTGCCTACGCTCCCACTGACTGCAGTTCGGATGAAGTGAAAGATGAATTTTACAGAAAACTGTCTGAACTTCTTCAGAAAGCTAAACGTTCAGACATAGTACTCATAACAGGTGACTTTGATGCCTAGATAGTTAGTTTAAACAAAACAGAAAGGCATTTAGGTGGGTATTTTAGTATTTCGGCACAGCGAACAGGTAATGGTGATCGTCTGCTGCAACTGTGCTCAGACAATCGTTTATTTTTAGCAAACACAAATTTTAAGCATAAGGAGAGACATTGTCTAACATGGCGACCCCCTGCACCAAACCAACGATGGACTCAAATAGACCATATTGCCATCAGTCATCGTTGGAGAGGGTCGATAGAAGATTGTCGCTCATTCTGGAATACCTGCTTGGACTCCGACCATGCCCTAGTACGAGCACGCATCTGCTTGCGCCTCACTGGACGCAAAAAAGACTCATTATAACCGAATTGAGTAATGAGAAAACCAAAAGTAGGTTCCAGAAACAACTGAGGTCACACTTAGGTAGTTCTGAAAACGAGGCTGACCCCGATGTTGATTGGAAAGACATACAAGCAGCTGTGGAAACAGCAGTGACATCTACTAGTGATTTAAACCACAGGGTTACAAAGAACCAATGGATTTCTTCAAGGTCTATTGCACTGATAGATTCTCGTAAACTCATCCCATCAGGTTCTGAACACGATGAAGAGCGTAAAGAAATCAGATCTAGGTTAAGCAAAAGTCTAAGGAACGACCGCGGGCAGTGGTGAGCAACGAAAGCAAAAGAGATGGAAAAGGCGGCGGCTATAGGTAACACAAGACAGCTCTACAGACTCATAAAAGAAACTGGAATTAATAAGTCAAGTGTAAGTCAGACTATTTCGGAAAAAGACGACACTTTCATCTGTTCCCAGTCCAGACGTTTAGAACGATGAGCGGAACATTTTAAGGAGCAGTTCAGTTGGCCTTCAGCTACTCTACAACTACCCTCTATTCCCAGACAGTATGAATGGAACATTGAAGTAGGTCCCCCAACTCTAGCTGAAGTTCAAAAGGCTATAGTTAATCTGAAACGAGGAAGGGCAGCTGGTCCAGACGGACTGGCCCCAGAGGTCTTTAAGGATGGTGGTCTAGTTTTAGCGATTAGGTTGACTAATATTTTAGCTAAAATTTGGGAGTTAGACGTTATTCCATTTAACTGGTCACAATCACTTATCGTCCCAATATTTAAGAAAGGATCAAAATCATCCTGTGACAACCACAGAGGGATTAGTTTAACTAATATAATATCTAAAATACTAGCTTCGATAATTTTCGGACGCCTAACTAAGACTCGTGAGCTGCAAACACGTGAAAATCAGGCTGGCTTCAGACCTGGTCGTGGCTGCATCGACCACATATTCACCATTCGTCAGGTTCTAGAACACAGGCATACTTATCGGCGTCCGACAATGGTGGTATTCCTTGACTTAAAAGCAGCGTTTGACTCTGTTGACCGAGAGGTTCTGTGGCAGTGTCTGTCATTGAAAGGCGTACCTCAGAAGTACATAAACCTTGTGAAAGCTCTTTACTCGAACACCACTAGTCGAGTTAGAGCTTATGGCGAACTGTCATCTGCTTTCGCAACCTCAAGTGGCGTCCGCCAAGGCTGTCCACTTTCTCCATTTTTGTTCAACTTCATCATAGATCTACTGATGGAAATAACGCTCTCATCGACTGAATTCTCAGGTATTGATCTCCTACCAGGAGGTCCACTTATTGACTTAGAATACGCAGATGACATAGTCCTGTTTGGTGAAGACGCTGATGAAATGCAGTCTTTTGGTAGCACTGAGCAACAATGCCAGAATGTTTGGGATGCGCTTCTCTCCCTCCAAATGCAAGTTGTTGCTTCAGGACTGGTCTGCGTCAACACCTGAACTAAGGGTAGGGGGTGAAGTAGTCGAACGCGTCGACAACTTCACCTATCTTGGAAGTCTGATCAGCCCTAATGGGTTGGTGTCTGACGAAATCTCAGCACGGATTCGAAAAGCTCGTTTGGCCTTTGCCAACTTAAGGGACGAGTATACTGTGCGGCAGTTCGTTCCGTTCTACTATACGGCTGCGAAACATGGCCTTTGAGAGTAGAAGATATTCGTAAGTTACTAGTATTTGACCACAGGTGCCTTAGAAATATTGCGGGTATCTGCTGGGATCACCGGGTAAGTAATAGTGAGGTTAGACGCAGGGTATTAGGAAATGATGGTAAATCAGTTGATGAGGTTATGAACCTTCATCGACTGAGATGGTTGGGCCACATGCTGCGTATGCCTGAACACCGATTACCGCGACGCGCAATGGTAACCGGTGTTAGGGATGACTGGAAGAAAGTTAGGGGCGGCCAAACCAAAACGTGGCATCAGTGCTTGAAGTCACTAACTTCTGGTCTGAGCCATATTGGTAGATGCAGACTATCTGGTTGGGGTCCGCGTGACTATCGTAACCAATGGTTGGAGACTCTTGGTGACATGGCTCAGAATCGATCACAATGGCGTCGGTGTATGCACTCTCTGTCTTCCTTTAAACTAAGAGATTAAAATCACTTCAAATCTTTCTTTCTACGAACTAATTCTATCTTCCTGTACTATCTCCTTATACACACTCTTTCTTCTATATATTGCCACCACTGAATTAACTACTTCTATGAATCCGGTGTTCATCTTGTTGTGCTAATGCGGTATGGCAACTTGGACCGATGCATATACGTGCCTGGTCCTACGTTGCAGCTGACTGACTGCATATGTTCATTGTGTGCGGATTTACTTGATATAATTATTTTGTTACATCCAGCCGAGTCCCATTTAGGATGGAAAGCGCATCCTAGATTTCGTTACTGACTACAATCCATATCATATTGTAAAAAATAAGTGTTCTTGTCTCATCAACCTTTACCTGTAATATATGTACTTTATTATGTAAACAGACTGATACGTTTTGTTGATTATACTTTCCTTATTAAACGTTTTCTGATTTCAAAGAAATTCATACAGTACTCTTATTTACTGGGTTAATAAAAAACACTTACAGAGGAGGTCTTTTAATTTAGATTAATTAAGGTTAAAAATTCATATAAGGACTTCTTTTAATTGTTAATCCTACTAGTATTGTAATCGTATTTTTTCTGAATTTTTATCATTTTTATCGGTATTAATACATGTTCTCTATTTTATTTTAACACTTTCTAAGGTGGTGGTGATACTGGATTAGCCATTTATGCTCGATTGAAAAACCCAGATAAAAGAACACGTGTTGGTTTTTCTGCTCATTTCGGTGGTTTTATAGCAGGTTACTAAACAAATCTAATTTGTTCTAACAATTATCGTTTTTTTTTACGTATCCATTTCCTACCAGTAACCGATGATTAGTTTTTTTAATATATGTAAATTTATTATTATTGACCCAGAAGTACATATTTAGTGCATTTTCATGCTCAATTCATGGTGAAATTTTCAGATTCGTAGTTCGACTCCTAGAACTATCATAAATATGTATAATACTAAATTGTACAACCATAGTTACATTTAAACAGATAAATTAACTAGCTATAAATTTATATTTTCTATACTTTTCTGCTACTTATATCTCTTTATAATTTTTAGAACAGTGACTTAATGATTAAAGTGCGTGATTTCCAGCCTCGCGCTGATAGGTTTGAACACCATGCTACCTACTTTATTTTAGACGAATAAGTAGTATCACGTCCAATAGACGAAGAGAAGTTTAACTTTACATTAAGTGCACACAAAAATAATCCTAGTAAATAGGTTGTTATTATTATTTCTGAGTTTTACAACAAGAAATACAAGCAAATGTAAATGTATTTACAAACATAGATACAATAATATAACTTGTTTAGTAATATCTTCAAAACCCCAATATATTGATTTCTATTAATAAACTTGACCTAATCACATGTTTGCTCATTTGTAAAAGTATTTTATATAACTGAAGATTGTATTCATCATATTAAATATCTAAAAGTAAAGTAAGCTGGCAAACTATGATAAAAGAATTTGTTCGAATGCCGTTAGAAACAATATAATTAGATGCTAAATTATTGGCAGCAAATCTTAGTCCTATTCACATATTTATTTGATTTATTGATGCTAATCATGTATCGTATAACAAACAGTTTACTTGTTACTAATTGAAATCAAACTTAATATAATGTCTAACTCTGACTTGTACTAGGGGTAGACAAAATAGCTCTTATCCTTTAAACTAGCTCCTTATTGTGTACATATGTTTTCATTGAAGTTACAGATGGTATTTTTTGTATACTGATTATGAGTAATGTTTTCTGAATTTCTATTGTCTGAATAAAATAGTACTTACTTAAGCTGTTAACTTATTGTCTAAGCCCTGGACGTGAAACAGATAGTGAATTGGAATTTTGAACTCCATCATACCTCATTCGATGTCTGGAAATGGACTGCAGCTGAAGGCCAGCTGAACTGTTCTCTAAAATGTTCCGCCCATCGTTTTAAACGTCTGGACTGGGAACAGATGAAAGTGTCGTCTTTTTCCGAAATAGTCTGACTTACACTTGACTTATTAATTCCAGTTTCTTTTATGAGTCTGTAGAGCTGTCTTGTGTTACCTATAGCCGCCGCCTTTTCCATCTCTTTTGCTTTCGTTGCTCACTACTGCCCGCGGTCGTTCCTTAGACTTTTGCTTAACCTAGATCTGATTTCTTTACGCTCTTCATCGTGTTCAGAACCTGATGGGATGAGTTTACGAGAATCTATCAGTGCAATAGACCTTGAAGAAATCCATTGGTTCTTTGTAACCCTGTGGTTTAAATCACTAGTAGATGTCACTGCTGTTTCCACAGCTGCTTGTATGTCTTTCCAATCAACATCGGGGTCAGCCTCGTTTTCAGAACTACCTAAGTGTGACCTCAGTTGTTTCTGGAACCTACTTTTGGTTTTCTCATTACTCAATTCGGTTATAATGAGTCTTTTTTGCGTCCAGTGAGGCGCAAGCAGATGCGTGCTCGTACTAGGGCATGGTCGGAGTCCAAGCAGGTATTCCAGAATGAGCGACAATCTTCTATCGACCCTCTCCAACGATGACTGATGGCAATATGGTCTATTTGAGTCCATCGTTGGTTTGGTGCAGGGGGTCGCCATGTTAGACAATGTCTCTCCTTATGCTTAAAATTTGTGTTTGCTAAAAATAAACGATTGTCTGAGCACAGTTGCAGCAGACGATCACCATTACCTGTTCGCTGTGCCGAAATACTAAAATACCCACCTAAATGCCTTTCTGTTTTGTTTAAACTAACTATCTAGGCATCAAAGTCACCTGTTATGAGTACTATGTCTGAACGTTTAGCTTTCTGAAGAAGTTCAGACAGTTTTCTGTAAAATTCATCTTTCACTTCATCCGAACTGCAGTCAGTGGGAGCGTAGGCAGAAACGACGAAAAGGCAACGACGTGTGACCCTATCCTTTCGAGTTCTTACGGAGCCGTTTAGCCGAACAGCGCATAGACGACTGTTTACGGGGATCCACTCTAATGGCGCTTGTTCCGCCCTCATGCTTAGTGCTATGCCTACACCTGCCAGTCCACGAGAACTAGCCATCGGGTCGCCAGATACACGGAGGGTGTATCTCGTCGGCTCTCCGTTTTGTCGAAGTGAGGTCAAGTAAATGACCACACTAGGATCCTGTATGTGTGTTTCGGAGACACAGCATACATCAATGATACGAGATTCTAGGGCTTTAGCCAAAGAAGACTGCTGACCGATCTGACATAGGGTGCGTACGTTGAAGGCTCCAATGTGTAGTTTGGAGCGGGGTTTCAGTAGACCTGGGACAGTGTTTTGCGCACTAGAATCGTTGGCTTTGGTGACACTTGAGGGGGAAGCCGAAAGAGGAAGTTTTGCGTTGAAGGTCGATGTAGGAGGAATAATAGGAATTGAAGAGGTAGGTTGATTATGAATACAGTGGCCTTGAGTGCTGTTAGAGGCATGAGGGCGGTTATCACATCCCGGTTGCCCACACCGTGAAAGGGTTCTTCTGGAGGTACCTGAAAAGGAAATTGGATTAGAGGTGGTCATAGTGACCTGAGAGCGTGACCGCAGTGCCCAAGGGACAGCTGCTTGTAGTCGGTCACACACGACCTTTTTATGAGCAACTTTTGTGTTAGCTCCGTACTTGTTGAGACCTTACCACCGGAGACGGATATCCGTGGAATAAGGTAAGGTGTGTATTTTTAGGGTCGACCTTTTCTAACCCCTCCCCTCCTTGTGGGAAGGCAGCATCGCTGTTATGCTGGTTGTCTGAAGGAAACACCTTACTGCTGTCACACCTCTGTACAGTCAGCAGTACGACTTCGCGTTCGGACCTTGGTTTTGTTGCTTTTAGTCTTACCGCTCTTCAACCGACCTGTCTGGCATGGTAGGACCTTGAGGAACGGTTGTTCCAGCCAGTATAGCTCAGTTGCTTCATCACGATAGACAAGCCCGACCACCACGTCAAGGTAGCATCAACGGTCGGGAGACAGTTTGGTATGAATGATGATTTATAATATTATTCTCCCTCTGCGATATACTATGATAATAAGACTCGATGACCAAGTTTATAATACCGGGAAATTGGATACTCGAATAGTTCGCCATACACAGTCTAAATCACGTCATATCAAATACTGGATTCACAACCAAGAATAGAGAAGCAGAGTAACGCTAGACAGTACTTTACCCGACACAATTATAATCAGTCATTCGGTGATTCTGGAGTAGAAATCAATGAGAGGAGAAGAAATCACATATTTGATGTTCAGTATATTGAGTGCCTGATTGTCCAAACTCAGTGACAAATCAAATTTGAAAGCTTTGGTTATGGATCACAAGAGTTGTAAGATTTTGTGCTAGTTATCCTTTAAATTACCATTAACAAATACAATGCGCTGATAGTATTCAATAGTGCAAACAATGTGGTTCATTAAGGTTCTTGGTACTTCTGTAACTGTTTCACGAGAATGTACTGTGCGGTTCCAGTCGTAACGTGATTAGATGAGGTTTGTTTTTTTCTGAAACTAGTGTAAAATTACTCAGTTTCAGTGTATAGTTGTAATCGCAATGTCAGGTGGTCATTCAAGAGCTGAGGTGATTGTGTTCCAGTTACTGAGCTTCGAGATTCCAACCCTGCATCTAGTTCGTTTCGATCGACCGTCTGAAAGCCAAGTACATAAATCGGTGCCTGTTGGCTTGCAGAAACGATTAAATCTTTTAATCATTGCATTTAAATCATAAAAACGTTCAATCAAGTGACTATGTAGTAACTTTTCGGACTCATTATCAAGCTGTTTGACATCACGTTGACACATTGTTGTTCTCAAGCAACCGATAATTGCAAGAAAATGTAAGATTGTCCTTTTCAAATAGTCACATTGGAAAACATATCAAAATGTTTTCAGATTTTATTTTGTCGAAATTTCATTACCTATTTCTCACATATATGTCTTGTTTTTTTTTCATTTCTAGGTCTTTTATTAGGTGTAGTGATTTTGCGCAATTTAAAAGTAGAAAAATGGGAAAAAGTTTTCTTTTGGATATGTATTCTTTTCTACGTCCTATTTTCTATAGCAGCTATCTTATTCAATGTGTTTTGTGTAGGAATTAACAAGTGTCCTGCCTCTATATGGAATACCTAAAAAAGTCAATCGGATTTTTATTATTTTTTTGACAGAGAATTTATGCATTCTTGTTCTGTGAAAAAAACATTTTTTCCAGATTGTGAATCTAATTTTTTACTTCAACGTATGTATGTAACTAACCAAAGCACTGTGCTTTTTTGTGATTGTGCCTGCTTTCGTTGGTTTCTTTTGTTAACTCTTCCTCCTTTATTGAATTATCTAAGATATACTATTTTTGAAAACCGTTCATACTTTTTCCGTTTTTTATTTTTATTGAATATAATGCCTTACTTGTTATTATCATTTTTGTCTGACTTAATCTTTAGTGGTTAGTATAAATTCTATCATGAAACACACAAGTACTTTCTGACTCATAAAAAGGAATTAACTTAATTATTCTTGTCTGGTCAGCCTTTCTCGCTCATTTTTTATACTTGGACGCTTTCTTATGTTTTATTTGCATGACTTATATTAATGTGGTACATGCTGACACTAAAATACAAATTGTTGTTTTCGTATATCTTGTGTTCTAAAGTCTTGTCCTAGTGACTTTTATTTGTTTGTTTGTTTATTTTTCTTTGATCCTTAATCATCTCTGGATATTTTGATTGGACAAATTTTTGTTTTGTCTCACTAAAATCGATTTATTAGTATTATTTGGTTGTTTATCAGACAATCTAAGCTAGATAGATATAATATCATTATCTTTCGTTTTTTAATGTATCAGCGTAGCATACATACTTAGAGGAATTTTTACTTTTTGTGTATAAATGTAAGGGTTCATGATACGTTAGTAATGAGTATTTATTTTTAGAGAAAAATAACGATAAATAGGACAGTTTAAATAAATAATAGAAAGTAATTAAATGAGATTAATTATTTTTAGTTAAGACTTTTGTTTGATTCATTTTGTTTATATGGTTTTTTCACCTGCTTTATTCACAATTTATATGACTAAGATTGATCAATTTTTTTTTTCTGTTGCATAACTTGTGAAGGTATTCTTTTTTTGATGTATAGATTTATGTATTTGTATGCGTTGCACAATTGGAAACTTTATATTATTATTATTATTGTTTGCTAGTCTATACTTTCTAAAATATATTTGTGTACTAAATAAATTGTTCTTTTTCATACATTCATATTTTGAGTAACTACTAGATATGAAGATTAGTGATTTGGATTATTTGATATTTCATTATTTGAACTCATTCAACAAATAAATCGATGATTGCAAGATGATTAGTTGTTCATGCGTTTTAAATGGTTATAGTTATAATTCGATTTAGTACTTAAGTACAATTTTGCCAACTAGGCTAAGTTAGGTTTTAATATAACAAAATAAACATATAAATGATTGGTATTACTGGGGCTAGTGTGATCAGACGATAATTACAAGGTAGCTGTTGTAATTACCAGATTCCAGGATCTTAACGCGTATTGTTCTTCGAGCTGCTTTTATCCCAGTGTCCCATGCAAGACAAATCAGTTCTTTATTAGATTATATTCAATCACGGCTCAAAACTCACAATAGTGTAGCCAAAATATATGACCACACAGCAGTGCAGTTAAGCGATTATAATGTGTACATAACTTTATCATAAGTCGTACGAAATATGAGTAATAAAATAATGTGAAATATGGAACAAAAGGACATGAGATAGTAACCTATGGGTCTATTGAGAAGTTAGGAAAAGGTGAATGAAGAAGTCCTAGCGAAGGAAATTTCCTTTCCGACGATATCGTTTTCTGAAGCTGTACAGCTTTTATATGTAGCAGTCGATAGTGAAATTATCAAAGGTGGTTAAACTTACTAAAGTGTGGGCCACTGAAAGTGAAATGGTGATTCCAAAGAACGGTGTTAAAACCTTTACAGAATTCCTTTAGAAATATGTCTACAACTATTTTGGTGCACAATTATCCACGTTCCAAATGCAAGCACTGTCATTCTGTTTAAAATTTTGTGACGCTTCTTGGAAAACTGATGGACTTTACACAAAAATGTAGTTCTAAAACCTGGTGGAAATTCTACTGTGGTGTGAGCTACTTATATCCACATAAGTAGTAAATAGCTATAGTCGGGCATAGGATGTATTTAGAAAATCGAGAAGGAAACAACGGGAACGGGAAGCAATCACTATGACAATGAATGAACAATAAAATCTGAGATCGACTGATATATGCAAAAGAAATAGTCAAGTTTAAGACGATTGATTGATATTTTGCAAATTAACTATTTACTGTATGGTTCTCAGATTTTAGTGAGATGTTCTTTAATTTTGTGCTAAAATACATTCGGTTGTCCTTACCTGTGTTTCTCTTCACCACACTACTTCCCGTCGAAAACCGAATTTGCAAACATAGCGTTTTAGACTTTCGACTTCTTGAACTCAATAACCAACGCGGATGTATCAGGAAAGATAATGATATCGTTAGATGTCACTTCTTTATTCACAAGTGTCCCGCTCACAAACTATTTCCTTATGTGATCATATTTACTTTAGCAACGTTGACGTCGGCGCACCAAAGCATTTCCTCAAAGAGCTATTCCTACGCTCCATTTTCAACGCTAAATTTAACGTTGATCTCTATAGGACAATAAATGGTTTCGCGATGAGATCTCCATCGGGTCCTCCTATAGCAGAGTATGCTTATGGCCAACTTAACGAACATCATCTCCCGATCAAAAATTGATAAATTTTATTTTTGTAAGCGATATATGGATAATGCTTTTATCATCTGTGACGAAGACAACAACCTTAATAAAATATTGCAAGAGTTCAATAAATATTACCAGTCGGTCACATTCACAATAGAAGCGAATTTGATCTCAGAATTTCACTTCCTTGATATTTTGCTAGAACGAAGATCAAACTGATGTCTACAACGGTTGCTATACAGAAAGCCAGCCTGAAACGGGTAATAAATGAACTTCCACAGTTGGGTGCCACTGAGTAGGAAGAGAAATTTAGTTCATTTTCTATCCTCAAGAGCCAGACGAATATGCACTGATGACATAATTAATTATTAGCTGAATATGATCCGACGAACGCTTTTGGAAAATGGTCTCCTACCCTATTTCATTGACGGTAATCTGAACCCAAGGTATTTGGATAAGGAATTCATGCACTGCCAAAACTATAGAAATTACCTGTTTCAAATCCAAACACTGTGTACTTAAGAGCCTCATTCAATCTCTTATTCTACCCCTATTAAATTTTGCAGATTTTAATCGCTAGCTATTATCTTCTCTAAGAAGACGGTTATCTTTTATTCCATAGATTATTACCTGTTACTACTTCCAAAACTATTACATAACGTAAGTTCTTGGTGATTCTCGATTATTTTGCCAAATGATGTAACCTTTTTGTTATATTGTAGCGTAGAGTCGAGTCGCGATTGACTATGAACACCGCTACAAGACTACGTGCCAATTAACCAATAAGATCCCCGTAGGCCAATATCAGAAGGCAGATGATGGCTGTAGTCGAGATGTATTTGTTGGCGACCTCGTGGTATCGAAAGAATACCGAGATCGTGCCAAAGGAGTACAGGCGTGGTTACTAAGCGTAACCGAATTCGTACAAGATCAAAGTCAACGGGAGAGTGAGTGTAATGGCTGTCATTAGCATAGTTAAACAAACGAGCACAGTAAAACAGTCACTGGTACAATTGGTTATATTAATAATTGTTTTCAGCGAACCAATCGCGTTTTGTTGACAAAAGTAGGTCACTACAATATCTTGTGACCCGCCGATTAGAGAGCAGTGAATTATCGATCGGAACAGTGACGCATAAAACACGTACGAGCAGCCTAGAGTCCTGATTGGCCCTGCTTTCCTGTCTAGCCCAGCCAGTTGAGTTCGGAACACAAGTCTCAGCCTCTGAGATATGAATCATTATATTTCAAACATACTGAGTTTATAAAGCGATCAAACAGACCACAACATACCAATAAAAATTGAAACAACATTTGTACAATAATTAGCCAGATGTGGCTGTGAATGAGGAAGATAGCAATCAATAGACAGGCCACAACTCAAGAATAGTAAATCGTATAATAATAGTTCATAGGTCAAAATAAAACTCATAATAAGAAGGACATGGATATGAACAGATTAGTTACATTACAATTACACGATAAAAATATACACATAATATCGGTCCATAAATGGATCCCAAAAATTACCATTCATTATTCTTATTGGGATATAACACCTTTATTTAGTACTTGAAAAATTTAATTACATTGAACCAACACCCCTCTATTTATAAATTATAATAGTTGACACTTGAAATTTTCGATAATCTTGACTACATTGTGCAGCACCATTTCGTTTAAATAAGTCTGACTATCTTTGATAATTTTGTAAACCTCTATTTTACTATCGACTGCTACATGTAAAAATTGTACAGCTTCAGAAGATATCATCGAATAGAAAGTTTCCTTTGCTGGAACGTCTCAATTTTTCGATGCACCAGTGAACCTCTTTCTTTTTTTAAAACTCCAATAGTTCAAGTGTTATCACTACCCAGCTACTCTTCACTCCACTCCTCAAATAAGAACATGTTCAAATAGGAACGTTATTATATTCCAAATAAACGAGGTTAAGTAGAAGTGGGAATCAAAATGAGAAAAACGTTAGTATATTTATAATTTTCACACCAGAATATTCTAGAGACTTTTCCGTGTATCCGCTAGTCCAAGTGTATACGTTGCCTTGGTGATTGTAGTATTGGCCATCGTTGGAGCTCTGCTTTTCGTGGTGGTTTTCTTGCTAATTTGCATTTGGTACACAAACAGAATATCTGCTGAAGTCGGTTGTCTAAATGTGGCTAACACACCTAACATCGTGCTAGTGCTTTCATCCGATTTATTTCAGGATGTCCTCAGTGCAACTGTTTAAACACTGCTGGCTATAACTTCTTTGGGATTATGAAACGTTTGGCAAACAGAAGGCAGTCATCGGTGATTGAGAGAGCTACCTTGCTCTGGTGAAAATGATGAAGCTCTGTGG